AATACTTGGATAAAGGCTTCAGGTTCCATAAATCTTTTTAAAGTATTCTCTCAAAAACCATTTCCTCAGTCATTTCCCTTTATCTCCAGCCTTTGATCCACGAGTCTCATTAACCAATTGTTCGGCGTAAAAGTTTTTAACAACACACCATCACCTCACAAGTAAATCTTTAAGACTTAAAAGAAACAAAACACAGTTGATTTTGAAGGTAGAACACTCAGTCACAATACTACAGAAGTCCTCTTTTATGAAGTAAGTAACAGCAACCCGAAATAACTGCTTGAGTAAGGGAAACAATTACCTTAAAAAGTCTTGTTAAACAACAGTAAACAGAAAAACAGAAAAGCCGCTTCAATAAGTGAAAGACAAATCTAGCAAAACTTTTAAATGTCAAAATATTAGGAAATGTTGCAAACCTTAGTAAGCCCTTAGAAAGTACATTTTTTCAAAATGAACAAAATGACAGAGAGAAAATATTCTCAGCAAAACCATAATATAATATAATTGTTAGTACACCGACTATATAAACAAATCGAGATACTTGGTAAATGAATACGACCTGTTAGATGGTCCCATGTCACTTTATTTCACGTCTTATGCTCGCCGCTATGGCGATCAACAAAAGTCGACTAACTACTCGATATAGACTTCAATGTCACAGTTAGTATTGAATGATAACAACAATGATTGTGACGTGTTTGTTACATACATAGCGATTAATGCCAGGGTCGGATGACGACACCTAGAAATTATCGAATATAAGTCAGATATTGCGGGTATCGAATATTGCCCAGGCATAGCGTGTATCGAATAATGAAGAGGCAGGAAGGTATCGAATATGGGCTAGGCATTGCAGGTATCGAATTATGACTATGGGTTAGGTATACCGAATAATGAAGAGGCAGAGAGGTGTCAAATATTGACCAGACATTGTGGGTATCGAATTGGGCTGGGCATTGCAGGTATCGAATAATAACTATGGGTTATGGGTGTCGAATAATGAAAAGGTAGGGAGGTATCTAATATTGACCAGACATTGGAGATATCAAATATTATCCAGGCATTGAAGGTATCGAATAATGACTAGCAGGGAGGTATCGAATATTGGCCAGACATTGATGTATCGAGTATGGGCAAGGCGTTGCAGGTATCGAATAATGAAGAGGCAGGGAGGTATCGAATATTGGCCAGACATTGGAGTTCGAG